GTTCCAAAAGCCAACAAGTCGCTTTATAACCTTACCATGCAGATACCCGGGGGTGATCCCACGTCACCCTATGCAACTGAAATTTCGCAATCCAACCTAGCCCATAAACCTTAGAACCACATTTCCACTTTTGAAATCATCTACAAGATTAGAATCTCACATTTATACTCTGAATAAGCCCGAACGAGCTGTAATAACCAATACCTGCAACCTCATGTGCAATTACATGACATACCACATAACTCAAACACTTGTAGCGATAACTTCTAATCACAGCAATTGCTCAAAACATCCGAATTTCGATAATAAGCCTTTTATTAAATAAAGCCTCATTCCAACACTTTCGTATACTGCCAATGATAAATGAAACACATAGAAAGTCATAACCACTCCTCAGATCAACCATTCGTAAAGCCACTTCTCCTTTAGCAAGGACCATAGCAAATTTCTGAGCCGAACATCGATATTATCCCTCCAACACGCTGAAATCGAATCCGTTTGTATACATTCTAGATCCCAACAATATCATCTAATTCCGACACAACTACTCTGGTAACATGATACACCAATACAATCTAAAGCCACAACTCGTGCGATCCGCGCACCAATAAGCAACAATCTGAACGTACGCAAATCATGAAAATGACTCAAATGAGAGAGCTGTACCACAAGCTCACCAGTACCACCACACCAAATGCTGAGAGCCCGTCACATCTCGTAGAAACAGAACACACGAATCTAGCCTGAAGGATCATACCTCCACATAACATCGCTGAAATGCGCGACCCTATCCAAACACTGGCCCACATGAGACACCTCCAGTCATTATGCTCAAAATAGACAACCAAGCGCAATTTGATGCCTAGCACCCAAAAGTGAATCACCATAACCATGGAGAAGCAAACGACGTAATGCCACACCAGTCCGAAAGAACATATCCAATGTGCAACAAATCATGCAACACCCAAATACCTGTCTCATTCAAATCCCGCTATAAAGCCCAAACGAAACCACACCATGTGTGCATATAACCACCTAATCTCAACTCCTCGTAACACAGGAGAGTAACTCATAGATCACAAATAAGCTCAACAACAATCGAATGGAATATCTCTCAACAATAGATGTTTGGAGTAAACAAATCTGACCAGGTGCAGAACACGTATCCATGTTGGACCTAACAATGAACCCCAAATCAACTATGGTCACCCACAATAGATAATTAACTCTTTGAAGGTTCACAATGACTGAATCATAGCACATACTACCCCCTGACCAATCTTAGCTATTTTCTCACAGTCCACAACCACAAAGCCATCTAATCACGGAAACTCTCAGTCTCCCAAACCATAAAGCACATGAATCACCATATCTGATCCCAGCTACATTGCCCGAACATCTAATACACATCCGATACTTGATCATTCCACGAGGGATACTCCTATAATTCTTCTGTGCTACCAAGCCAACTTGAATATCAACAGTCGATCCAATAAGAGAGTGCCACAATACTAATGAAGTATCCTTAATTCAGACACATTGCCCTTTTTATGAAGTGTATACCCTTATCAAGACACAGCATTTAGTAATATCATTTACCTAGTCATCTGAAATTGCCCGTGTTGTCTAAGAATTTATGACCTTCCTTTCAGAACTGAACTGCGACCTTACACATGCCAATCTTAACCCTACACAACATACCACATATACCATGCCATCCTATGATACATATGAGAACTTCATAATCCCTTCCGAGCCACAATCAAATATATACTCAACTAGTCAAGAACTTTCCATTTGATCCCATCTAGGAGAAAATCACTATACCTCCCATGCTCCTCATGCCAGAAGAAAATATACACCTCTAACCGTGGTAGAAATTATCAAGAACTCTACGAATCCCCTTTTGCGCAAAACCGAACCATCAGGACTGACTCCTTCTAACTCAACCAAGCTACACAAGCCATTAAAAACCTAAGAGTATTGCCACAGAACACCTGTGAAAACCTACGGCTTCATAAGCACTCAAGAACAGATCATATCCATCACTATGCCGATCCGACCTACTACCAAGCTATCCCATCTATCCGACTTTCCTTCTAATTTCCTTCTGATTTACCTTCAACTTGATACTCCTTCTTGCTATAACACCACAATTCCTCAACCCAGACTCACCATATGATACCCAAGCATAAAACCACACCATCTAAGGCTTATAAGCCCCTGAATACTCTCTTAAATATTCCCAAACGGACCATATTCAAAATACCTACCCTGAAGGGACTTTCTGCGAATCCAAAGCCATTACCTTTACCTTCCTGATGCTGATATATAGAATCCCATAATGATATAAAAATACCACGAGTCTTGACACCCTCCAGTACAAACCTCAATTCCTAGCCAAATATACAACTTGAAAATCTCCAATTATTACATGTAAAATCTTGAACCCATTAGAACCATTCTCGAGAGTCATCCACTCTACTCAATCCACAATTAGACTGATCACACGGACGGACCGGGCGACCAGTGCTCCAAAAGCACTCCAACACCGCAGAGTGTAACCTCACCTTAATGCAACCAGCAACTTCCTGCTCTATGCACAATGCATCCTTTACTAATATAACCCACGTCGTTCCGTGATTCTNCTTCATTATTGAGTTTCTTCTTAAGCAATTAATTGGAGTTGAAGTTATTGAAAGTCATTAATCTATTTTAATTGAAGTTTTATTTAAAGGGAGTGTTGATCATTGTTGAGTTACTTTCCCATTTAATTTGTTCTTATTGAGATTCTTTTCACATTATGTTTGAGCTATGGGCTATGTGATATGATGATATTTGTATCGTTGTATTAGAAAGATTGTGGCCTATGGGCACTTGTGGTACGAGTTGATATGTCATGTCGTTGTGATGTTAGCACATGTGAATTGTGGTCTAGATTGGTTGTTGTTATGCGGAGCATAAGGGTGGCATCTCACTATTATTGATTGTGCGGAGTGATATGGGTGGCTATCGTGTTATTGTCCGGGCGGAGCGATAAGGGTGGCTATTATGTGAAGTGATACGGGTGGCTATCAGAGTGATACGGGTGGCTAATGATATTGTCAGGGTGGAGTGATACAGGTGCCTATTAGACAGATAAGAGTGGCGATGTCAGGGATCATGTAAGATGGCCTGGGGACTTTATGTTGATGATACTCGTGTGATGGTGTGATTTTCCTTGTGTATGTAATACACCTTACGTGACTTGTTGTCTTGTCTAAATGAGATACTCGATGTCTTTGATATTACTGTTGACTTGGGCTGTAATAGTACCCTCGCACAAGCATACACCGTATCATGCCACTTATACTAGTTCAAGAGTATGTAAACTTGATATTTATCGATCATGCCCATGTATTCTTGTATTAGCCGCTTTCATTGTGATATTGACCCTGTGACCATCCCAGGAAAATTGTGATTGTGAGCTTGTAATCATGCCGGGCAGATTGAGATATTGGCACGTGAGATGTCCGCACGGTGGTAATTAAAAATGTGAGCACAAGGTGCCGTGAGCATATGATTGTGGTTTGAGACTCGTGACTTGTGATTATGAGATGAGGTATCTCGGAGTAATTCGTTGTGAGACTTGTGTTAGAATGGGGCTTGATTAGTTGATTGTCATTTGTTTCCTTATATGTTCTCGCTGGTACTTTAACGGTGTTCTTATTACTTTACTATTTATATCATATGTTGATTCTTGTTGCCATTTACTGATTTTTGTTTATTAGCTTTATACTTTTATACTACACAAGTTATTTTGACTGGTAGGTGTCTTGACTTGTAAACGTCACTACTCCACCGAGGTTAGTCTTGATACTTACTATGTACTGATCGTGGCGTACTCGGACTATACTTCTGCATTTTTTTTGTAGACTCGGGTATTGGTGATATTGGACTCTGGCAAAGTTAGCTTATCGGTCGTGAGGATTCAAGGTAGAGTTGCTTGGTTGTCGAAGGCCCTTGGAGTCCTTTCCTTTTATTCTATTATCAGCTTGATATCCGAACAGTATTGTATTTCAATTTTTGAGATATTCTATGTATTCTGCTAGAGTTCGTGACTCTGTATTACCTAGTCTTGGGAGTTGTAGTGATTTTTGTCACATAGGCTTATTTTACATTTATTTTGGTATTTATATAAATCTCTGATTTAAAATATCATGGTTAAATTGGCTTAATTCTTGTGAGTAATCAGCTTACCTAGTCTTAGAGACTAGGTGTAATCACGATGCCTAAGGCGGAATTTTGGGTTGTGACATTGTTGATGTTGGTATCACAATCTTGATTTACTCTTTGCTCAATGAATTCATCGTCCGCAAGGCTAACTGATGATTACTAACTATTCCTATTTGATAAACTCGTCTTTGTCTTATAATATATTTTCTTGGAATTAGTATCAAACTAGACAACCATTTTTATTCTAGTAACAACTCCTTGACGCACAAAAGTCATATACTTTTCTTTTTATTCTATCTCAAAAGAACGTTATAGTTCCTTATTTAGAAACAATTTAACTTTATATTTATCATTTTACCCTAAACAACATGACTTATAGCTATACAAATATTGAATTCGTTACGTTATTGTTGTTTCCGTAATCGATATACGTTGGTATCCCAATCCTTAGCTACTAATAATATTTACAAATACAAGTAGTTTTATAGAAGTTACTCCATTTTTATTACTTTTTGCTCAATGAATTCATTGTCCGCATTGCTCAATGAATTCATTAACGGACAAATGTGATATACTTTTCTTTTTATTTTATCTCAAAAAGAACGTCATGGTACTTTCTTATTTAGAAACAATTTAACTTTAAATTTGTCATTTTATCCTTAATAAAATGATTTATAACTATACAAATTTTTATAGCTTATTTTTAGACTACAAATTATAAAAAAATTCTTTATTTTAAGATTTCGTGGCCAGTCAGATCTGCCACATATTTTGGATCGAAGAAGTAATTAACAAAAAGGGAGCACTATGGTAGTATATTACTGCATAGTAATCGTACAACAAAGAGGGAGTCTCACGACCTCAGGTTTATTACATAAACGTTCCCTCAAGAAAACTAATACTCAACATATCTAATAGAAGCAACATATCATGGCCATCTCCTTGGCATTATTCCTGACACCGTGTTGCTCATTAATAACTGATTCTGCAACAAAAAACATAAAAATAGAAGTCATAAAAAAGAAAAAAAGATCAGCACCTTTCCTCAGACAACCGTCGCGCTAGCTATTAATATATACAAGTATACAGTCAATTAAAAGAAGAGTTCGTATATGAAGCATTTTCACGGTAACTTTTTCACTAAAATTCAGTTTCCTTATTTTTCTACCCTTTTTATTTTCTTCACATGCTTTACAATTTCATATAGCAAACGATAGGGGTAGTTTAGACCTTTTTTTAAAAAAAAAATTATAAAGGACTTAACTTATAAATATTTATAGCATAACAAACTTTTATAAAGTCAAGTTACCCATAATTATAATTAAGAAGGTTTACGTAACTTGTAGTAATTGCTTTTAATAAATTGATGGTCTAAATATTTTTTTATAGTTTCAGTGCATAGAACTTACGCATCACAATTGATGGCCAATTGTAACTAAGAAGTTTACTTAACTTGTAAAAATTACTTTCTAATAAATTGATAGTCCAAATATCTTTTATATCGTCAGTACGTAGAACTTACGAATCGCAATTGATAGTCTTGGAGACGGGAACGTCCATGGCGACACCACACTTAGAAGCAAGAGCCTGAACAGCATCATCTTTAAGGTTTGTGTAACGGTTGGCTGCTGCCTTAACACAGTTACAAGCTGTCCTTCTATCATCTGTGGTTGCGGCCATTCCTTTCAAGTTTTTCACCCCACTGCAGCAAGCTGCTCCTGGCTCACCACCTTGTAAAAGATCGATAATCATAAAATAAAATGAAGAATTTAATTGAGGCTTTTAGATAGAGTGGAGAAAAGAAAAAAGATTCAGAAAATGATTAAACAAAATTCACCGGCTTATATATATCTTAAAAAACATAACATGAGCTACTGTCAAATAAAATAAGAGTTTATTTATTTTTATTTTGTAAAGTTCTCGGGTCATGTTTGTTATGAAAAGTTACAATGTTATTGCATAGAATTTAATCAGGTAATACTTGACTAGGTACAACAATTAAAAAAGAAAGAAGAAAGACTTTTAGAGCTTATAATGGAAATATGTCATGACATTTGCATGTATAAGAATATCATTAAAGGTAAAATACAAAAATTGAACTTAAAATTTTTGAAGTGGAGCCTTGTGACTAGGAGGTCACGAGTTCGAGCCGTGAAAACAACATCTTGCAATAATGTAGGATAAGACTGCGTACATTAGACCCTTGTCGTCTGGCCCTTCCAGAACCCCGCGCATAGCGGGAGCTTAGTGCACCGGGCTGCCCTTAAACTTAAAAGTTTCCCAATATTATAGAAAAAGTGTCCTTTTTATTTAACAAAATAGAGAGTGTCGTTGCATAAATGGAACAAAAGTGGTATATGTGTTAATGCACATAATAATTTAAACAAAAGTCGTCAGGATGTTGCAAAATTAGTTATAGTATTTTGGTTTTTTCTTTGATTCAATACGCCATATGGTGTGCCTAATTTAGCAAAGATGACGAATTATTAGCAGCTGACTGTGGTCCCTTCTTGTTGCTCGTACGCGACAGCACATTTCTTCAGAACTCACGTTTCATGCATGGATAGAGTAAGTAACAGAGAGTTGTGATATGATCAATGGGTAGATCTTTTCACCCTTAATCATAGGTCTCGCTTTCGAGCGCTTGGAATAAAAAGAATCATGATAGGGAGCTCTTCACCCTTAAAAAACCTTAATTATGTAGCGTATATTCAAATTAATTGAGGCTCCAACAAAATAAATGTCGAATACCAAATAGAAAAAGAAAAAAGAAAAGAAAGGGCTCTTGATAATTAAGATGCAGGCTGAAGAGCTTACGATTTGTTTGACAATTTACTACCACCAGTCGGTTTTTCGGAATTAGCAAATTGACTGCAAGAGAAAAGACCATTAGATAGGGAAGTTAGAGTATGATTTGAAAAACAATTATCGCCGTCAATCACTAAAAGTCCCCATTGTTAAGAGTATACAATGAGTTTAAAATTTAGGGTGTGTTTGGTGAGAAGGAAAATATTTTCTTAGATATTGAGGAGAAGAGTGGCACGTGACAGCCACGTGAATTGATGTAGTTAGCTGCAGATTAATTATAACTAATTTTATGATAGATAGTTAGAGGAGTTAATAGTGGAGGTTAAGTAGTCATTACAGCTGTCATATGCAGCATATGTATATATAACGTGTATACATTGTATTGAGTTTTAGTTAGTGGAACACACAATCATTTTTCCCTGCTCATATGCTCTTCAATGTGTTCTTCACTCTAGAACATTTCTGCCCTTCTTCTTCCTTCAGCTCCAATTGATCTGATCCTCGTGTTTCATCATGGTATCAGAGCCCAGGGGCTGAACATTCAATCATTGCGGTGGATAATCTCTGCTTTATGCAGAATCATTTTGTGTTGCTGATTGTTCGAATTTTCAATCAGTTGACCTAAATTCTGTTTTTTGTTTTGCGATTTGCAAATCTGTAATTCCTTGAATCTGACAGTAGAATATACTGAATCTATCAACAATGCCAAATGGAGAAGAAACTTTAACTGGAACAAACACAGGCACAACAAAGAACATCGATCATCATCATCCATTATATTTGCAGCCATGCGACACTCCAGGTAGTTCCTTGATCTCTATTCAACTAACTGGATCTGAAAACTATGCATTGTGGAGTAGATCCATGAAGATAGGTTTAATTGGTAAAAGTAAGCTAGGATTTGTTGATGGATGATGTACTAAGGATAAGTTTGATCGATCCTTGCATGAACTTTGGGAGAAGTGTAATGCGATAGTTTTGTCATGGGTTATGAATGCTGTGAGCACAGAATTACTTAGTGGAATTGTGTACAAATCTAGTGCACATAAGGTCTGGACTGATCTAAAGGATAAGTATGATAAGGTAGATGGATCTCGCATTTTCTTTCTGCACAAGGAGATTGCAACCTTATCGTAGGCCATTTCCTCAGTCTCTGCATATTTCTCAAAGCTGACAGATCTCTGGGAGGAATATGATGCCTTAATGCCTTGTCCTGGTTGTGAATGCCCAGAATCTAAGAGCTACTTTGAACATTTTGAGTATCAAAGACTGCTGCAGTTTCTCATGGGACTAAATGAGACATACAGCCAACCGAGGAGTCAGATATTGATGACGAGCCCTGTTCCTTCAGTTAACAAAGCATACTCCATGATAGTCTCTGAAGAAAGCCAAAGAGCTTTGGGAAGGTTCTCTCAGTCTGTTGATATTGGGGATGGAACAACTCTATTTACCAATAAAGGCATGAATTCAGGAAACAATTACAAGCCTAGAAGAGGAAATCTATTCTGTGACTATTGCAATTATAAAGGACATACAAGAGATACTTGCTTCAAGTTACATGGCTATCCAGCTGACTTCAAGATGAGAAAGAAGACAATAGGTTTTCTTCAAAGACCTATGGCCAATGCAACTATACAGGAGGATCAACAATCTATGACAAAGCAGAGGACCATTACAAATTCACAGGAAGCACAACTGGTAATCAATACACCTGCAGCAAATGCAGCACATGGAGGAAGGCCAATCATGTTTACTCAGGAGCAGTATGACCAAATACTAAAGCTGATCAATACAGGAACATGAACAGGAACAGATGCTAATGCAAGCTTTGCAGGTACATCTAAGACCTCTATTGCAAATGAAAGGGTTAAGGATGAGAATTGGATAGTAGACTCTGGTGCAACCAACCACATGGTTCACACCAAAGAACTACTTGACAAGATAAACACAGATATCCTAGGAAATGCACCTAAGGTATATTTACCTGATGGAACTTCACTTGGTGTTGAATGTACTGGAGAAAGTAGAATTGGTGAAAACAGTGTTGTTAAAAATGTTCTATATGTTCCAAACTTCAAATATAATCTCTTATTTGTTTCCAAGCTCACAAGGGATTTAAGATATTTTATTTCTTTTTATCCTGACTTCTGGATAATGCAGGACCTTCACAGTGGGAAGGTGAAGGGGATTGGTAAGGAACTAGAAGGTTTGTACAATTTGCAGCATCAGAAACTTGAATCCAAAGCTGCAAATGTGCATATTCAGAAACCTACTGAACAGGAGGAGGACATAAAGGTGTGGCATGGAAGACTTGGACATGCTCCAGATAGAGTAGTAAGATAAATTCCAAACATAAAGTTCAAAGTTGACAATGATGAAATAAAGGAGTGCACAATCTGCCCTTTGGCCAGACAAAGCAGATTGCCATTCCCTAAGAGTACAAGTAGATCAGACAAACCATTTCAATTGATCCGTGTAGATGTTTGGGGTCCATATAGAATAAAAACTCATAGTGGACATAGATTTTTTCTTACTATAGTAGATGATTGTAGCAGAATGACATGGATTTACTTACTAAGGCTCAAAAGTGATGTGGTTGTATGCTTAAGACAATTTTTAGCCATAATAAAGACTCAATTTGCTGTGACTGTGCAAGTTATAAGAAGTGATAATGGATCTGAATTTTTCAACTCTGAATGTCACAGTTTATTTCAATCCTATGGATGATTTATCAGAGTTCATGTGTTCACACTCCACAGCAAAATGGGATAGTGGAAAGAAAACAAAGGCACATACTTGAAGTGGCTAGGGCCATTAGATTGCAAGGTTATTTGCCTCTCTAATTCTGGGGAGAATGTGTGCAGGCAGCCATTTATGTCATAAATAGACTGCCTCTATCAGTGTTATCAGGAAAATCATCTTTTGAGATGTTATATGGAAGAGTACCATCTTTAAAACACATGAGAACTATAGGGTGTTTATGCTTTGCTAAGGCTGTGGGAGAAAAGGATAAATTTGCAGCAAGATCTATTGGTGTTGTGTTGATGGGATATTCATCATCCCAGAAGGGATACAAACTATACAATATTTTGACTAACTCTTTCTTTGTAAGCAAGGATGTCAAGTTTATGGAGCACATTTTTCCATTTCAACTACTTAAGGAAGGGAAGCTGCAACTTTTCCCTAATAGTGTACTGTATCATCCAGTTACTACTGATGCTATTCCTATGCAGATTGACACTCAAGATGCTGATGCTTCTTCTCCAGCAATGCCACCTAATGCAGACAATCACATTTTTGATACACAACCCTCACCACCATCTCCTACATTCTCTGAGGACATTACAGCACAGCAGCCATCTTCTCCAGAACAGGATGTACCTGTTTCTGTGGGTCCTTCTTTAAGGAAGTCAGCCAGAACAACTAAAGAACCTGTGTGGCTACAAGATTATATCTGCAATTGTTCTCTGACAAAGCCAGAAGGAGAACAGTCTTGCAATATCCAATGCATAATTACTTAACTCATGCAGGTTTTTCAGTCAAACATCAGTCCTACTTGTCCAAGATTACCAGTATTAGAGAGCCTTTGTCTTATGAAGAGGCTGCATCAGACCCTAAATGGCTTGATGCTATGCAGAAGGAGTTGAATGCACTCAAGGACAATAGTACCTGGACTATGGTAGATTTGCCTGCAGGGAAGACCCCTATTGGGTGTAAGTGGGTGTTCAAGATAAAGTATAAAGCCAATGGAGAGGTTAAAAGATACAAGGCACGTCTAGTAGCCAAGGGTTACAATCAGATTGAAGGCTTAGACTATCAGGAAACCTTCTCTCATGTAGTCAAGATGGTGACAGTCAGGGTAGTTATAGCTTTGGCTGCAGCCAACAACTGGAATTTGCATCAAATGGATGTATATAATGCATTTCTCCAAGGAGATCTTACTGAAGAAGTATATATGTGTCCACCC